TAATAAACTAACCCGACCACACCACCACCAACACACACACACACACACACACACACACACACTCCTTAGTTCCTGCTGGGTTGTGGTTACCCTCTCTTGTGGAATTACATAAAACCCCTGGCCCAACAGGATTCAGAAATTTAATACATTAAAATCTCATAACTATAAGGGAGAAAATTGCCATATCTGTCATAATGTTAGCACTGTTAGTAACTGAATTTTTTGTTCTTTTCTTGCAGAGCAACTCCAGAAGGAACTTGGTATGCACTCTATTTTTTTTCTCCTGAATTTTGTACCTTGGCAGAATGAGACTCTGAGAATGAAATGGCTACTTGGAGCTCCCCCTTACCCCAGCTCCTTCTCTTTCCTAAATGTACCAGTGGCCATGGGGATTGTGTACAATTAATTCCCCCAGTTAAAAGGCTAACAATTTCAAGTTATCTTAGGAATGCAGATTGATTACCTGATTGATTTTAGCTGTAAAGCTGCATAACTAAAGCATGGAGACTTTGTTTCCGGTATTATCTTCATTCTAACTGTGAAAATAAGCATGGAGTAAAACAAGCTATGGTTGCCTTAAATGGAAAGTCACTTTGAAACATAAAATACAGGTACTTCTTTCATAGACATTTGTGCATAAAATGCCATTACATTTATGGTCGTGATAATGAGGACAGAGAACAAGGCGCTTTGCCCCCAACCTTCTTATTCAGTGATGGTGGGGTTTTAACACAGTCTGAGTGATTTAGCAGCACAAGTCCACTTGAAAGTCTGTGCTTTTCAATGATCTGATTGTTTCAGAAAATCCTACTTTTTAGCTATGAGCTAGTAATTCTAACGTTAGGGTTGACACTGCCTTGTGTATGAACTTTTCTTTCCTCCTTCTCTCAGAAATCACATTTCAAATAATAGAATCATAGAAGATTAGGGTTGGAAGAGATCTCAGGAGGTCATCTAGTCCAATCCCCTGCTCAAAGCAGGACCAACACCAACTAAATCATCTCAGCCAGGGCTTTGTCAAGCCAGGCTTTAAAAACTTCTAAGGGTGATGATTCCACCACCGCCCTAGGTAACCCATTCCAGTGGTTCACCACCCTCATAGTGAAATAGTGTTTCCTAATATCTAACCTAGACCTCCTACAGTGCAACTTGAGACCATTGCTCCTTATTCTGTCATCTGCCACCACTGAGAACAGCTGAGCTCCATCCTCTTTGCACACACCCCCGCTGTCAGGTAGTTGAAGTCTGCTAACAAATCCCCCCCATTCTTCTCTTCTGCAAACTAAACAAGTCCAGTTCCCTCAGCCTCTCCTCGTAAGTCATGTGCCCCAGCCCCCTGATCATTTTCGTTGCTCTCTGCTGGACTCTTTCCAATTTGTCCACATCCTTTCTTCAGTGGGGGTCCCAAAACTAGACGCAACATTCCAGATGTGGCCTCATCAGTGCCGAATAGAGGGGAATAATCATTTCCCTTGATCTACTGGCAATGCTCCTACTAATGCAGCCCAATATGCCATAAGCCTTTTTGGCAACAAGGGCACATTGCTGACTCAGATCTAGCTTCTCATCCACTATAAACCCCAGGTCCTTTTCTGCAGAACTGATGCTTGGCCAGTCGGTCCCCAGCCTGTAGCAGTGCATGGGATTCTTCCATCCTAAGTGCAGGACTCTGCACTTGTCCTTGTTGAACCTCATCAGATATCTTTTGGCACAATCCTCCAATTTGTCTAGGTCACAGTGGACACTATCCCTACTCTCCAGCATATCTATCTGTCCCCCCAGCTTAGTGTCATCTGTGAACTTTCTGAGGGTGCAATCTATCCCATCGTCCAGATCATTAATAAAGATGTTGAACAAAACCGGCTCCAGGACCAACCTCTGGGGCACTCCGCTTGATACTGGCTACCAATTAGACCTTGAGCCGTTGATCACTACCCATTGAGCCTGATAATCTAGCCAGCTTTCTATTCACTTTATAATCCAATCCAAACTTTTTTAACTTGTTGGAAAGAATACTGTGGGAGACCATACCAAAAGCTTTGCTAAAGTCCAGATATATCATGTCCACTGCTTTCCCCATATCCACAGAGCCAGTTATCTCATCATAGAAGGCAATCAGGTTGGTCAGGCATGACCTGCCCTTGGTGAATCCATGTTGACTGTTCCTTATCACCTTCCTCTCCTCCAAGTGCTTCAAAATGGTTTCCTTGAGTACCTGCTCCATGATTTTTCCAAATGTTCATGTCTAGACTTATAGATTGAGTGATGAAATTTAGTAGCTGGTCGTGGTCAATGCTAATGTATTTTTAAAGGTGATAAATTGTGTCTGTGCTAGATACACAGCTGTGATTTAAAACGTTAGCTAACCTATTTTAATTAATACATTTAGTACACTATATATTACATTCTGGTCGCACTGTGAGTTTTGCCATTGATTTCAGTTGAATCAGGGCTTCACCTCATCTATTTCCTCAACTAAGCAGGATGTTACTAAGAAGTTTATGCATCAGAGTCTGGAATCACTGCATGCTCATGCTCCCCATAAAGACCTTGTGACTGTTGAATGTTCAAGGATCACAGAGCCATACCTCATAAATCAAGCAGGATGTTGTAGTTGTATACTTTTACTATTAATAAAATGCAAATTTCTATATTTTCTTAATCTAGTTTCTCTCTCTCTCTATCTCAATGTTTACTCTGTTCCCAGAACTAGGGTTTCTGGGTACTTTACAATTTCTAAATTGCACCACAATAAAATCTTTTTTCTCTCTCTCTTTCTTCCACCCGCAAAGTTAGAATGTGCTTACCGTTAGTGTTTGATTTGTGTTAGATCAGGAAAGCTAAATCATATAAACAAGTTTATATTTTCAGTTGAAGAATGAGATTTGTGGGGATTCTTTCAACCAGTAGAATATGGACCAGACCCTGCTATCACTGAAGTCAAGCAGAGCTTGGCATGGAAATCAATGGGACCATAATTTTGCTCTGTGTGCGTGTGTGTGTTTTCACAAGCATACCCTTGTGCAGCACTGGCAAAAGAAGAAAAATCAAGTTAATGATTGAGAAATGTTTTCTGTTTCCTTCCATTTTTTAGAAAAAGCTAAACCTTCAGAAGCAGGTAAGATTTCCTACATGCCATCTACCACATCGTACAGGGTTCACTCACTCAACAATATTGATAGAAAAGAGATGAAATAGTACTTGGTTATTTCAGGCCCCAATTAGAGAGAGTTATGACTGAAAAAGAGGAAATTTAAATATGTGTGTGCATTTTTTTTAACAAGGTCAGTCCCAAATGAATTAAAGATGTTAATCTGAGTTGCTAGTTTTCAAAGCGTCTTATGTTATTTTGTTGGTAATTGTAGAAAAGGGGCTTAGTATTCACACATGCACAAACAAACACACGAACTCAAAACAGATTTGCCAGCATCACTAAAGCATGGGATTAATATTGCCTACTTTGGTGGAAAAATTGCTAGGGCTTGAACTTTAGTTGGTTTGGGCCTGAACTTTGGTTCAGACCTAAGTATTAGTTAAGTTTACTGGAAAAAAGGGGATTTAGAGGCATGGTGAAGGAAAAAGTACAAAAGCAAATCTATCTATAATCACAAGGCCTATAATTCATAACTGCCCCGAATAATGTTAGGAAGCTTAAAAATCACAAAAGGCAAACTGTAAAAAACAGAAAAGCTTGCTAAGCTATATTCCCTTTTATGGAGAATGTACTCCAAACATGGCAATAATGTTGGTATGAAAGTATGCGAGGAATGTATTCCAAATATGGCAATAATGTTGATAAGAAAGTATGCATTACTAATTGTGGTTTTGTGCTATATAAGCTACCCCAAAAATCCATGGTGGGTGGGATTGCCAGTTCGCTGGTACCCCCCATGCATGCATAATAATAAAAAGGCCTCAGGCAATTCTGATCCAAACACAACAGGTGGTCGTTTTTCCATGATACTACTATTGAACAACATCCCCATTTCAATAATATTAAAAGAGCTGGGGAAATTCCAGTTTATGTTAGGAATCTTGAGAGTGGACGGGGGTTCTCTATGTGTTCTATGATACTGCAGAGCATTTTGAAAGATTGAGGTGATTGGGTAATGGCTCCTATTGACTTCACTGGGAATTGGATGGAACCCTTAGAAAGGCCCGGGCAAGAAGGTCTTTGAGGAACCAGAAAACTCACGCATGAATTAACGTTTTCTGACCATTTCCGTGTCTCTCTTTCAGAAAATGGTGAACTGAGAACTCAAATAGGTAAGAAGAATGTCTTATCAGTTAATGAAGTAGACCACTACATAGTACTACTCTTTCAGATCACAGCCAGCACAGGAGTCACCAATACACAGAATGGCGGGAAAAGGGGCCTATTTTCAAATGCTGATAACTTTGTGAAACAGCCACCTTTTGGGTGGCAAATGCCAGGACTTTTTCTATGAACAAAGCAGATTTAATTTTTTTTATCACTCTTTCTTTTGACTGAGAAGACTATGACAATTCACCTGTGTATCTACATTATTTTCTAAATGTTCTTAGTAGCCCTAAGGTCAACTTTTCTGAGCTTTAAATTTTGTACAGCAACTGCCTTCACTGATGAGTTTTGCTCAGTTTTGCTCTGGAAGAAGAGGTTGGTTTGGACTATTGCAAGTTATGAGCTTCTGAAAATCATGTGTGGAATTTGTGGAGTAAGTTATTCAGCTAAACATTTCAGTTCAGTATTGGAGTGATGCACATGCAACTATCATAGCTTTGCATTAACTTTCCCATCACTAAAACAATTCCAGACAGGCCTGTTATGCTCCTCTACTAGATAAAGTCCAGCTACAGAGCTTCCTTCTTAGCCAGGGACACACCAGATATGGTCATCATATTTTTAATGCTCTGTTAGGTATGGTGGTTAGCTTAAATAAGGCATTCTATACACAGAGCCACCTAGTCACTGAAAAGTATAATATAGTTTACTTTTTACTAAATCTCCCCCTTTAAGATCTACATTCCTACCATTTACACTATCTCGTTAACTTTGAAGTTCACTATATATTGTTCAGTTAAGTTTCAGTGAATCATAGCAGGTTTCTAATTACATGATCACAATTCATAGCAGCTTGGTCATCCGGCTGTCCATTAGTAGCAACGACTGGCTGTGTGGGTCTAGAATCCTTGCATCTTTTACTTTTTTGCCTTCATCATCTGTAGAGTTTGCTGTGTTGATTATTCTTTGTAAGCAACAAACTCCAGATGTTGATAGCTTTTGTTGAACTCTCCACTTTTGGTCTCAATCACATACTATCTAGGTGCTGAATTCTTTTTCTTTACCACAGTTGGATCTGTCCTTCCATAGTCTCCATCCAATTTGTATGCACAGTCACAAGGTTCTAGACCCAACAGGTTTCAGAGTGACATCTATTGTAAAAGTGTCCACACGCTTTTTTAGGCTATCAAATTTCATTATGCTCTTCATGTATGGCATTTTGGCAACTGTTCCAAAGTTACAACAGTCATTCTGAGTTTTCTTCCCTTGTGCATCTGCAGGTTTCAGAGTGATAGCTGTGTTAGTCTGTATCAGAAAAAAAAAAACAAGGAGTACTTCTGGCACCTTAGAGACTAACAAATTTATCTGGGCATAAGCTTTCATGGGGTAAAACCCACTTCATTGGATACATGCAGTGGAAAATACAGTACAAAGATATATATTGTGACAAAGTTCCTCCTCTATCTTGGTGGGTCCTGCGCTTATTGACGGATTTTCTTGCCTCTATCTTTCTTGCTATCTAACTGTCTGTCTGTACTCGGCTAGCTTGATTATCACTTCAAAAGTTTTTTTTTTTTTCTTTCCTCTTAATTAATTGGCCTCTCAGAGGTGGTAAGACAACTCCCACCTGTTAATGCTCTCTGTATGTGTGTATATATATCTCCTCAATATATGTTCCATTCTATATGCATCCGAAGAAGTGGGCTGTAGTCCACGAAAGCTTATGCTCTAATAAATTTGTTAGTCTCTAAGGTGCCACAAGTCCTCCTGTTCTTCTTTTTGCGGATACAGACTAACACGGCTGCTACTCTGAAACCTTTCTTGCCTCAGAGATTCACCATGTGGTTGGGGAACAGCCCAGAGACCTTCCCCTCTGGAAGAGCCCACAGTCCAGGTCAATTGGGAGGTTTGGGGGGAACCCAGGCCCGCCCTCTACTCCAGGTTCCAGTCCAGGGCCCTGTGGACTGCAGCTGTCTATAGTGCCTCCTATAACAGCTGCATGACAGCTACAACTCCCTGGGCTACTTTCCCATGGCCTCCTCCAAACACCTTCCTTATTCTCACTACAGGACCTTCCTCCTGGTGTCTGATAATGCTTGTGCTCCTCAGCCCCTTGCACCTCTTGCTCCCAGCTCTTTACACTCACACCACAAACTGAAGTGAGCTCCTTTTAAAACCCAGCTGCCCTGATTAGCCTGCCTTAATTGATTCTAGCAGCTTCTTCTTAATTGGCTCCAGGTGTCCTAATTAGCATGCCTGCTTTAACTGGTTCTAGCAGGTTCCTGATTACTCTAGTGCAGCCCCTGCTCTGGTCACTCAGGGAACAGAAAGCTACTCATCCAGTGATCAGTATATTTGCCCTCTACCAGACTCCTGTACCCCACTGGTCTGGGTCTGTCACAATATACACAGAGAACATGAAAAAATGGGTGTTGCCATACCAGTGAGAGCAATCAATTAAGGTGGGCTATTATCAGCAGGAGGAAAAAAAAACTTTTTTAGTGATAATCAGGATGGCACATTTCAAACAGCTGACAAGAAGAGGTGAGTACAAGATGGGGAAAAATCAGCATAGGGAAATAGTTTTTACTTTTTGCTTTGTCAGTTCGGGTGGGAGTCCGAAGTAGGTTTTTTTTTTTTGTTTTTTTTTGCTTCAGCAAAAATGGTAGAGCCGGCGCAGCAGAGGGTGCATGCTCAAATTTTTTTACTGATAGGGGTGTGTGATCAAAAAAGTTTGGAGACCACTGCTCTAAGGTGCCACAAGTACTTCTCATTTTTTCTTGTGCATCTAGGCATTTGTCCCTCTGAGCTTGGGCATTCTCTCTCTTTGCCTCAGGGGTCTTATAGAATCATAGAATATCAGGGTTGGAAGGGACCTCAGGAGGTCATCTAGTCCAATCCCCTGCTCAAAGCAGGACCAATCCCCAGACAGATTTTTACCCCAGTTCCCTAAATGGCCCCTTCAAGGATTGAACTCACAACCCTGGGTTTAGCAGGCCAATGCTCAAACCACTGAGCTATCCCTCCCCCCCCCATTATGGTAATAGATTTTAGCATTCCTGCTGCATCTGTTAACAACCTGAAAGCTAATTTCTTGATTTTTCAGGTTTGGTCGGTTACTTCTGGTTTTTCTGTCTCACCAGCTCAGACTGCTTTGCTGTTTGAATAGCTGTGTATAGGGTTAGGTCTCTTTTTATCTGAAGCTGCTGTGAAAGGTAGATAATACAACATTGTTTGGTGTTCCTTCTGTCTCCAGCCTTCTGTTTCTGTTTCTGTTCTCCTTTGGTTCTAGTTAAGAACACCATGTCATGTTCCTTTCATAGATACGGATTGTCCACAAGGCTTTCTTCTGAGTCAGGAACACAAATTCCTTTCTGTACCTCCCTCCTTGGAGATCCAGACACAGGATTCTGGAGGCCTAAACTCAGTTTCTCTGGTGGGGGGGGGGAAAGGTATATTAATCCCCCCAACCCACAGGGCTATCCTTTTGTTGCCCACACACTGAGTCAAGGGGAGAAGAATCTCCTCTGCCACCTGGCTCAGGGTCCTTTACATTTTCACAGCCCATGAGGCAGTCAGAGACTCCCTGGCTGTAGTTACCTTGGTCAACTCCCAGACAGCTGTCATATACTTCACTTGTGCATTTCTCACCCAGGGGTGGTTTTCACAGATTGGGCAGGGCACTGCAGCTTCCTAAGTGTCCCTACTTTTGTCTGGAGACACTGCCATCCCCATGATCTGTACTGCCCCTGCGTCCCTAGTGATGGCAGGCAGAGACATTGGGTATGTCTACACTACCTGCTGATCGGCGGGTAGCGATCGATCTATCAGGGATCGATGTATCGCATCTCGTCTAGATGTGATACATTGATCCCCGAAAGCACTCCCATCGACTCCGGAACTCCACCAGGGTGAGAGGCGGAAACGGAGTTGATGGGGGAGCCATCCACCACCTTCCCCAATCAGTCACTCCATTTGCATTTTGGCTGACACTATCTCATGCAGGGCTAGAGCTAATTGAAGAGGCCTAATCACCCGCTTTGCTTTCAAAGCCATCATATCATTCCACAAAAGCAAATAATAGGGACTATCTGACAGTATGTCTACAGCCAGCACCATGACTCTTCACTGGTCCATAGAAAAATCTGTGTTGTAGGCAGAGTGAAGGCTTTTACACCAGAATTTTAATCTGCAATACATGCCCTGGGAGCATTTGATGGGGTTCCACAACATGGAGCTTAACTATAGTTTTAGCTGTCCCTGTATCTCTCCATCCAATGACTGCCTCCCCACCTTCCTCTCTCATGGACAGTCCAATGGATATGCACCCAGGAGGGTGCAGCACGATCTTTAGGCAGCGTTTTTTCTTCACATGTTTGTATATGTCCATTCCGATATAGGTGTGTGCATGCCCCAAGCACAGCTGTCAGAGATTTTTCCCCTAGTGGTATCCATCGGCTCGGCTCTGGTGCCCCCTGGTTCCGTGCATAATGTTGGAATAAGGGGCCCCCGCTGAGCCTGTGTGCCTCAATTCCTTCTTACCGCCTATGCGGCTGTTGGAATTCCCCCTCTTTTCCTTGAGCAAAGCATCTTAGTTGTTTTCCATTGTTTTTTTTATTGTAAATAGCTCGGAGTTTTATAGTTGAAGTAGTTTTAGCAGATTTAGTAGTTTAGATAAATTGTAGGACCAGGATACCTCTCCATACTCAGAGAGGTGGTCCATCCCTCCACCAGTACCGGGACACATCTCAGGAACTGGGGTTTAAACAGTGCTCTTCATGTGGCATGCCTATGCCAACTGGTGACCCTCACTTGAGTTGCCTCAAGTGTTTGGGTGAGGGTCACGGAAAAGAACACTGCCACATTTGTTGGGAATTTAAGCCCTGCACACAGAAGGACAGAGCAGTGAGACCGAAAGTCTTCCACATGGAGGCAGCACTGAGACTCACCTTGGAGCCAAGATCGGACTCAGTGCACAGCATGCTGCCAGCTGCTAAGAGCTCTCAGCACTGTTCCTCCTCACCAGTGCCAAAGAAGAAACACCAAGGTCACCGGGAGAAGACCCACTCTCCAGCACTAAAGGGAGAAAAGTGTGCAGAATGGGATAGAATGAGACCTGTGCTGGGCCACTCTTCCTCCCCAGCACTATGGCAACCACCGGCAGCAACATCAGCCCTGGCACGACTGACTCCAGGAGATGATCAACTGGCTGGCCTACTCCAGGCAGACCAGTTCACAGTACCATTGACCCCAGAAGCCTTCACAACCGCTAAGGACTTGATGACATTACCGGTACCGAGCCCAGCTGGGAGACAGAATGCGGCACCACCAACACCACTGAGTGGCACTGAGGCATCGACCAGCTTCAGGCCCGTCTCAAGACCAGCCTTCAGGGGGAAGCCTCCTTTCATTTCCTCACCAGAGATGTCCCCATGGCATCTATCTCCAGCACCAGGAGGCTTGTCTCTGCCATGGTCATCGCGGTCCTCCAACTCCGCCTCATCATTAAGCTTAGACTTGGGAGCCAACTTCTCAAGATGCTGGCACTGACAAGAGGCTCCTCATCAATCCCAATATCCAACTCTGCCTTAGGGGGTGCTGGGAACAGGGATGACCCAGAGTGCCTGGCCCATGGGGTTTGGCACCTCTACAATGGCCCTTTTGGAACCCGTGAGGGTTTCCCCTGGGCCAAGACACCAGCTCACAGTACTCCTATTTGGTGCGTTTGGAGACTATAGTGGCATCAGGGGTGCACCGAGAAACTCCAAAGCTGATCTCCGGTGTCGATGCCAGAGCAGGTCCCCACATCAAACCCAGCACCAAACTGGGACTACTCCCTGGTACCAAAACTGGCCCAGAACAAGTACTGGTCTCCAAGATCAGGTTCCTCAGGGGGAGGTTGTATTGGACACTATGTCAGCATATGCCTCCTCCTTGTCTTCTCCAGAGGACAAGCTGATGCTCAAAGGGTCCTCCCCACTGCAGGATGACTTAAGAGCCCACCAAGACTTACTAAAGCATTTGGCCTCTAATCTAGGGTTGCAGGTGGAGGTTGTCAAGGAACCATCCAATGGGTTCCTGGACATTTTGTCAGCTGCAGCCCCTGCAAAGGTTGCCCTCCCCTTGAACAATGCCATCATGGCACCTGTCAAGGCCATTTAGCAGAATCCTGCCTCCATCCCATCCACAGTGAAGAGAACAGAAAGAAAATACTTTGTGCTTATGAAAGCCTGTGAATTTCTGTTCTCTCACCCTCCCTCATTGTAGCAACTGCCAACAAAAAGGACTATCAAGGCCATATGGGGTCTACCCTCAAACCAAAGGAGCCCAGGAAGATGAACCTTCTTGGGAGGAGGGCCTACTCAATGGGGGGGTGGGGGGAGCTCCAGTTGAGGATAACAAACCAATCATAAGAGCTTGTTGTGGTTGCAGGCAGCTGTGCTTCCTTAAGAAGTCCAGCAATCAGTGCAAGACCTGTCATTTGGAGCAAAGAGATGACAGGCTCCATGGGTTCAAAGACACCAGGGCAGCACTGAAGTCCCTAGGCCTTCAGTCCCAGGCGCAGCCTACGAGGCAGTACAGGCCTCAACAATACGGCCATTTCTACCCCCATGTTGATTTTATCTTTGACTGTATGTAGGAGGCTGGGCAGAAATTTTCTATGGGGTTAATATTTTCATGGTGGGTTTTTTTTAATCATATGGTGTGTGTTAGTAATTGGGGAAATCATTTTGAGTTGATAACATTTGTCTATTTTAAATGTTGATAAAATTTATCTATTTTAAGTCTTGTACTTTATAATGTCAGATTCTGAGCCACATTGCATCTTCTTCATGTTGCACTAACTACACAAATGTCCCCACAAATCAATGGATCTGAACTCTAGGAGTTTCATTATTCCTCCTCCCCACACACAAAGTTTCACTGAGAGTTCTTTAGCCACAGCTCTGAACTGCCATTACAACCTTGAGCCCAGTGATTAGGGCACTCAGGTGAGTGGTGGGAAACACAGGTTCAAATCTCTAATCCACTACAGATATAGGGTAAGAACGGGGTTGCCCACATCCTGGGTGAGTGCTGTAAGCAGTGGCCCTGGTTATATGTGGCTTTTCTGGGTATGTAGGAGGATCTTGAGCTGAGAAGAGCAGTTACATCCTTTGTCCATTTTTTAAGAAAAGAACAATTCTGTTCCAAGTAACTCTGTGACCATCTCTGCTAATTTCCGTAAGAGCTATTTGTGCTTATCTGAGGCTGAGTGTAGCCTATTTGTGAATGCTGAAACATTGATTTGTTTGTCAGAAACACTGAGGGAAAAGTATGGTAGGTATGGGATTGCCCATTGGTTTCACCCAAATAAAATAAAATAAAGTATAAATACACAGAAAGAAAAAAAAATAAGAGAAAACCTCTACAATTGAAAAAATGTAATATATTTCTTGGAATTTGTATTATCCCTCTCTCCTCTCTTAGCTCAGAAATGTCTTTTACTGCCTTGGGATCACATTTTTTTCTTATACTTACCATTTGTTGGGCATCTCCCACTTCAGAGAGCTTTCCCCTGATTTTCAGAAGAGTGAGCTCCCACAACTCTAAATTAAGTCAACCGGAGATACAGGTTGTCTGGACACAGGAGGTCTCAAATTACACACTAACAATCTGTGTACACTATTGAAAATTTACTTTGAGATGTGCAACAGCAAAAGGGAGCTCATCTTAGACTCTGAACAGGTCTTTCCATTTTACTTAGTTTAAATAATTGTTATTTTTTTCTACATGTTTTTTTTTACTTTTTCTCACATTCCAAAGTTTCTTTTATCATTCCCCTTTAATCTTGCTATCAATGTGTCATGTTCTCTTTCCCAGTCTCTGTTTTAGTCATCTAATTTCTCAGCCTATGAGATCATATAACAATGAATGCCATATAAAAATGTAGCTAGAATCTGTTCTCAAGGCTATCTTTTCATTTTTAAGATATTATATACATATATGTATCTCCCTCCCATCTCAGGTCACATCATTGGTGTACTTTGTTCTGTGTAATCCCTCAAACAGTTAGAATCATAGAATATCAGGGTTGGACGGGACCTCAGGAGATCATCTAGTCCAACCCCCTGCTCAAAGCAGGACCAATCCCCAACTAAATCTCCAAATCGTTAAATGGCCCCCTCAAGGATTGAACTCTCATTGGATTTCATAGTGCTGGAGAGCAAGTTACATCAAGTTAAATTTGGGTTTTCAGCTTTTCACCCCTCATTTTTAGCTGTTTAGTGACCATATTCACACTCTAAAGAAAAGTGGTGGTAATCACTATCAGCTGAAATTTGTAACATGGCTGATTTGACTCTAATGTTTTATATCTCCAGAAGATAATGGGAAAATGAGGATTGGTTCGTGAACAGTTTCACTCACACAAAAAGCAGGCTGTGTGAAATTAAGAACCATCAATGTATTCATCTCACGGACCTCAAAAAAATTGTCATTGATTTGGATGGTTGTCTCTTTAAATTTGAAAAAGAAAAACCCCACACAGCTGAAGACGGGGATTCATGTGTCTTGTCAATTTTCTTGCTTAAGCTAGTGAGCTAAAAATAGCATTGTGAACATAGTAGCAGAAGTTCAGGCTAAACACCCACATACAGTGCCTCCCATCCCTCTCGGTACATACTTGGGCCCAAGACATCGCCACGCAATGTGGCCTCACTGCTATTCTTTTGCAGAAACTGAAGCAGAGTTTTTGCATCCACCCAAGCTGGAAATCACATCTCCCAGCTGCTATGGAGACCTACCCTGAATGTCACATAGGAAGTACAGGAGTGCAGGGAATCTGTCCATTCCTTTACATTTGGATGCTACAGCACATATAGCATATCGAAAGACTTGTATTATTTTGAAATACATTTTATTTTTATGTTATTTTAGAGAAGTTTGAGAAAGAAAACTGTAGGTTTATTTTGATTTTTGAGTTTAATAGATATCAGACTGAGCACAAATTACTAGTATTTGTTGTTACCACAATAGTTCCTTCAAGAAACTGAGGGTTTAAGCTATAGTCGATAAGGTGAGTGGTAATGGGTGGCTGGGAAATGAGAATTAGTAAAGAGGAGTCATTGGGGTTTGGGGTAAGTCTCCAGTTATGTGCAAGAACAGGGCCTTTATTTTGGTTAATTATGGAATGCAAGATTCTGAATTGTTACTAGATCTGGGTGATGGATCAGGTATGGGTGTAGGAAAGAGAAATCTGGTAACTGATGATTTGCTGTTCACCAATTTCTAACGGAAATCGCACTGTTCTTTTACAGACCAATTCCGGACCAAACTTTGTAAGTTCTCTTTGATTTGTCACCTGCTACTATCCTTCAAAATAATATTAATAAATCAAAGCAGATAATTTTTCATATCATTGCCTTTGCTCAATCCAAGCAGGTTATTTTTTAATCCTATAGCAGAACTGTGATAATTTTCTCTCATCAAAAAATTGATTCATCACGCTGGAATATTCTTATTTATTTTCTCTCTTGTCTAAAATTGAAAGAGTGATTTTCAGAACTGTACTATATTGACATACAATAATGCCATGCCTCCACTTCTGTTGATTTTGTCTTTAAGTGTATGTAGGAGGCTCACAAAAATTTACTATGGGTTTAATATTTTCATTGTGTAATTTTTTTTCATGATATGGTGTGTGTTAGTAATTGGGGAAATCACATTGAGTTGATAAAATTATATCTATTTTAAGAGTAGCATTCTATTGTGGAATAGTAGCTCTTTGAATTTAAAAAAATGCTTTCTGTCATATTCTGAGCCACATTGCAACTTCTTCATGCTGCTCTAACTACATGAATGTCCCCAAAAATCAATGGATCTGAGCTCTAGGGGTTTCCCCTAGCACTAGGGAATCTTTGTTTGGTGTACAAGCACCATACATGCTCTTATATCACCTCCTTTTGGCCCAGTGCAAGGTGTTTATCCTGAAAAAGGGGGGCATGGCTCCGCATTCATACAATCTGTCTTCTGCACTACTCCAGGGATCTGTTGGTAATGAAAACAGTTTAGAAGATCCTTCAAGCTATTGTATTGGTCACAGTTGGAACATCCCACTGCAGAGAAAGCTCAGAATTGGAGGATAAGATGCAAACAGAATCTTTCATTACTCCTTCTCCTTAACACCATTTACTTGTATTTTTTGGTACTGCAGTAGTTCCTTCAAGACACTGAGGGTTTAAGCTGTAGCCTATAAGGTGTGTGGTAATGGGTGGCTGGGACATGGGAATTGGTAAAAAGGAGTCATTGGTGAGTCTGCAGTTATGTGCAAACACAGTGCCTTTGGGAGGTGGGGGGGGTTAGTTATGGAATGCAAGATTCTGAATTGTTACTAGACCTGGGTGATGGATCAGGTGTGGTGTGTAGGAAAGAGAAAACTGGCAGCTGATGATTGGCTGTTCACCAGTTTCTAATAGAAATCATACTGTTCTTTTGCAGACCAACTTCAGAATGAACTTGGTAAGTTCTCTTTCATTTCTCAAATGCTGCTATCCTTCAGAAGAATGTTCTTAAATGAAAACAGATATTTCTTCATTTCATTGCTTTTGCTCAATTCAAGGAGGGTGAATTACTTTGCAGATTTCTTTTAAACCCCATAAGGGAACTGTGATGAGTTTCTCTCACACCAAGTTGATTTATTGCCCTAGAATAATTGTATTTATTTCCTCTTTGATCTAAAATTGAAGGACGGATTTTCCAGAATCTCTGGAAATTATGGACATTCCTTAATGCTATGTCTACTGTTCTGTTAATTTTATCATTGAGTGTATGTAGGAGGCTAGCAGAAATTTTCTATGGGATTATTTTTTTCATGATAGTATATGGTGTGTGTTAGTCATTGGGAAAATCATTTTGAGTTGTTAAAATTATATCTATTTTAAATGTTGCACGCTACTGTGGAATAGTAGCTCTTTGAATTAAAAAAAAATGTCAGATTCTGATCCACATTGTAGCTTCTTCGTGCTGCTCTAACTACACAAATGTCCACAAAGATCAATGGAACTGAGCTCTAGCGATTTCCCCTTGCACTAGGGAATCTTTGTATGGTTACAAGCACTATACATGCTCCTATATCAGCTCCTTCTGGCCTAGTGCAAGGTGTTTGGCCAGGAAAAAGGGGGCAGGGCTTGGCATCAATACTACATGCCTTCTGTATTTACCATGGGATTTGCTGGTAATGATAACAGTTTAGAGAATCCTTTAAAATGATGTATTCTGCACAGTGGGAATATTCCATTGAGGAGCCAGCTCAGACTTGAAGTGTAGGATGGAAACAGAATCCTTCATTACACCTCTTCCCACCCCCTCCCAAAGTGTCACTGAGTGTTCTTTAGCCACTGCTCTGGACCTCCCTTATAACCTTCATCCCAGTGATTAGGACTGGGAGTTGGGAAAGTCAAGTTCTAATCCCTACTGTACCTTAGGCAGAGGGTGAGAACTAGGTCTCCTCTATTCTGGGTGAGTGCTGTAACCACTGGGTTAAAGGTTAAAAGGGAGGTTGTCCTCCTCCCCAGTCATTTTGTGTGCAGATAGGCACACACTGCTGCTTTTCTTGTGAGATACGGCTTAAGCACCTCCCTCCAGCTCAGACTGAGGTGCCGAACTCCCTGAGGGGGCAGGGCTTAGCATATCCCATTCACTAAATTAAATGGCACCCTGCTTAGTGCACTGGCTTTTGTGGAGCCCATTGTTAAGCACCTATCTCTTCACCATGTCAGCTAGCATCATTGTGGGAAACTTGAGGAGAATGCGAGAAACAATGATCACATTTAATCAGATCTACCTTTTTTAAAGTCTTTTTGTATAGAAAACCACAACTAATATAACTGTTGCATAAATGGAAATGGCTAGAAAAAACAAAGTGTCCAGCACCAGTATTTCCAATTCTTTTATATTCATATGGAATCCTGAAGAAGTGCAGTGGTGTCCGACTGCTGTTGAGGGTCTGGAAGTGAAGACCTCCAGGAAACGATGACCTCCAGCCATCTGCCAAGTCCTATTCATAATAAGTTATGCATATAGGGTTGAACCTCACATGTCTATCTTTGGGAGTGTCACTCTGATATTCTCGGGGGACTCTTCCCCTGATAGGGCACATGGATATTTCTTTTTTTTAACTTGTTAACATTTATGTCACTTGATCACCATAGTAACATGTGGATACTTTAAGGATGTCTCTAACATTACACCCTAGATACCAGCAGTTAGTTTGTGGTTTCCTCAGACATTATTATCCAAACTCAGCAGTTACTTTTCAAAAAATCAGCATACAAACATAGACACAAGCTCAACAGATTTATTATTAACTTGTGCTCATATTTTTATAATATGACTTATCCTAAGTCTTAAGGCCTAATTTGGCTAAACTAAATATTTTACAGGCCCAAGTCGTAGGTTTCTTGCATTTCAGCTTTAAATCTTGCAATATTGGTTAACCCATTACTATCATATAATAGATTAATTTATTAATTACAAGCTACACCATGAAGTGAATAGGGAGCCTGGCACCTAACTGAGGCCTTGTAAATTCCATTGCATGGCTAGGTGCCTAAAAGTGAGATGTTGCTGTAAGGGGACAGTTGGCCCCTCACTAAAACTTGGTAGGTTTGTTTGGCTAGCCTCTCCCCATGGCAGGAGAGAGGAGAAGGGCCAAGGAGGAGTCAGGACCCTGGGATTGAAAGGACCTCTGGCCAATCAGAGAGCTCTGGAACAGGGCTACTCTGAAGTATCCCACAGCTAAAGTCAGTCTGATTGACCAGGCAAACAGGCCAATCAGAGACCCCAGCTCACATCCCAGCCTCCATGCATGCTGGGGAAGGAGACAGTGAGAGCAGCAGCAGGGGAGAGGAGCTGGGAGGAATGCGAGGGAGAAAAGAGACACATGAAAGAGTAGGGAGTGGCCGAGTGATCTGGTGGGGGTCAGAGCTGAGAGAAAACCTCCATGACAAAGTGACAGATCCAGCCTTTCAGGGCCCTCTGTAGGTCAGTGAACCCAGCACCAGAGACAGGACTGCAGGCATGGGTCAAGGGGTGGTGACGGAGTCAGGGAGAGGGGTGATGAGGGGGGCAGGGCCAGGGTCAATGAAGATGGTGGGTCAAGGGGCAGTGTGGGCAGGGCGAGTGGCAGTGAGGAGTCTGGGAGGGATGGGGTAAAGCATAGTGGGGAGGATGGGGCAAGGGGGCTGGCTAAGGGATGGTGAAGGGATGAGGCAAGGGTTGCTGAGGGAGTGGGGCTGGTGAGCAGGGTGAGGGGCAGTGAGCAAGGTAGCATGAGGGACGATGAGGAGGTAGGGCCAGGGGTGATGAGCGAGTGGGGTGAGGGATGGTGATTGGTTGGAGCTGGTGAATGGGATTGGGGTCAGTCACGAGGGAGAAGCCAGGGGCTGTGAAAGGGTGGGGCCCCACCATGACACAGGGACAAACCTAGCCAGGCTGAGTCCCGTGGAGGGGAGAGAAACCACCACCAGAGACAAAGGCTGCAAGGAGGAGCTGGGGAATCAGGGCTTGCTGTGAGGGACCAGAGACAGGCACAGAGACTCAGTGAGGGGAAGTGTGTGGGGTAGCTTGGAGTGCCCGAGCTGTGGGCTCCCAGAAATCCCCAGTACTGCCTTGAGACCCACCATGACTGGCCCAGCTTGGGGGGTTCCTGAAAGCCCCTGGGCCAGGAAGAGGTGCGAGTCCTGTGGGTTGACTGCAATCAAGTCTGCAGAGGATTGTCAGATCTGGTCCCAAGGCAAGGCCCTACGTGAGCCATGCATGGTCCAAACAAAGGTGCTCCACCTTGCAGCAGGCTGGGGAGTCTGGAGATTAGAGGAAGATGAGGTTCTCCCCACCCCCGTCATTTCTCTCCTTTTCAGTTGACCCTTGGCTACAGGGGAGTATGGAGAGACATTGCTGTGGTAATTTGTGTAACCCCATACCCCAGTGGGTGGAGCATTAACCCCATCACACACCCCTTCTGGGGCTATCAAACCAAGGAGCCAAGTTTCATCACCACACAGAAGAAAAGGTTACTGTTTAAAGTGTGTTGGTTTGTGTGTGTACGTAGAATCATAGAAGATTAGGACTGGAAGAGACCTAAGGATGTCATCTAGTCCAACCACCTACTCAAAGCAGGACCAACCCCAACTAAATCATCCCAGCCAGGGCTTTGTCAAGCTGAGCCTTAAAAGCCTCTAAGGATAGAGATTCCACCACCTCCCTAGATAACCCATTCCAGTGCTTCACCACCATCCTAGTGAAACAGTTTTTCCTAATACCCAATAGAGGGGAATAATCATATCCCTTGATCTGCTGGCAATATTACTAATACAGCACAAAATGCCGTTGGCCTTCTTGGCAACGAAGGCACACTGTTGACTCATATCCAGCTTCTTGTCCATTGTAATCCCAGGTCCTTTTCTGCAGAACTGCTGCTTAGCCAGTCGGTCCCCAACCTGTAGTAGTACATGGGATTCTTCTGTCCCATGTGCAGGACTCTGCACTTGTCCTTGTTGAAACCTCATCAGATTTCTTTTGACCCAATCCTCCAATTTGTCTAGGTCACTCTGGACTCTATCCATACCCTCCAGCATATCTACCTCTCCTCCCAGATTGGTCTCATCCATGAACTTGCTGAGGGTGCAATCCATCCCATCATCCAGATCATTAATTAAGATATTGAACAAAACTGACCCCAGGACCAACCCCTGGGGCACTCCGCTTGGACCCGTTGAGACCAAAAATCTAACTAGCTTTCTATCCACCTTATAGTCCATTCATCCAATCCATACTTTTTTAACTTGCTGGCAAGAATACTGTGGATGACCGTGTCAAAAGCTTTGCTAAAGTCAAGATATATCACATCCACTGCTTTCCCCATATCCACAGAGCCAGTTATTTCATCATAGAAGGCAATCAGGTTGGTCAGGCATAACTTGCACTTGGTGAATCCATGTTGACTGTTCCTGATCACCTTCCTCTCCTCCAAGTGCTTCAAAATCGATTAATTGAGGACCTGCTCCATGATTTTTCCAGAGACTGAGGTGAGCCTGTAGTTCCCCAGATTCTCCCCCAGATTCTCCTTCCTCACTTATTTAAAAATGGGCACTATATTTGTGTTTTTCTAACCGTCCTGGACCTCCCCCTATCACCACGAGTTTTCAGAGATAATGGCCAATGGCTCTGCAATCACACCAGCCAACTCCCTCAGCACCCTCAGATGCATTGCATCTGGCCCCATGGATTTGTGCATGTTCAGCTTTTCTAAATAGTCCTTAACCTGTTCTTTCACCACTGAGGGCTGCTCACCTGCTGCCCATACTGTGTTGCCAGCAGTCTGACAGCTGACCTTGTCTGTGAAGACCGAGCCAAACAAAAGCATTGAGTACTTCAGCTTTTCCCACATCACTTGTCACTCGGTTGCCTCCCAGATTCAGTAAGGATCCCACACTTTCCCTGACCACCTTCTTGTTGCTAACATACCTGTAGAAACTCTTCTTGTTATCCTTCCCATCCCTTGCTAGCTGCAACTCCAGTTGTGCTTTGGTGCTCCTGATTACACCCCTGCATGCTGGAGCAATATTTTTGTACTCCTCCCTAGTCAGCTGTCCAAGTTTCCACTTCTTGTCAGCTTCCTTTTCGTGTTTAAGCTCACTGAAGATTTCTCTTTCAAGCCAAGTGGTCACCTGTCATATTTGCTCTTCTTTCTGCACATTGGGATGCTTTGTTCCTGCAACTCCAATAAAGGCTTCTTTAAAATAGAGAGTGAATAGTTCAGTATGTTTCCCATCCAGGTGTAGGCAATGGTGTGACAATTGCTATTGTGTATTTTAAAACCTTTAAGCTGCTTAATATATTTTTGAAACCAGTTAACAAGTTTTCTCCCATTTTCAGGCTGTTCCTGGGAGATAAATCTGTTCTATTTGAGTTGGCATTTTGTATGTGCCCTTTTTAACCGTTTAGTTGTAGATAAAGCTCCTACCCCAGTTAGGAGAATGTTACATATTGGGAATCTATCTAGTAGCAGGGTGGGAGCACTCCAGCTCGTAGACAAATCTGACATGGGTAAGAGGAGGAACTGGAGGGGCGGTACTATGATGAGAGGGAGAGGTGATTTGGAAGCTGCTTCATTATAGCAGCCATTGTTCAGACTCCATCAGGCGGTCTCCCAAGCTGCTGAGAGATCCCTGAAAAGGGAGCAGGGCCGGCTCTGGCTTTTTTGCCGCCCCAGGCAAAAAAGCCTCCGGCTGCCCCCACCCCCAGCGCAGCAGGGGAGAGCAGCCGGGGCCCCGGGGGGAGGGCAGCGAGCCCGCCGCGGCTCCGCTCTCCCCGGCAGCCAGAGCGCCAGGGGGAGGGCGGTGAGCCCCGGCTGGGGCTCCGCTCTCCCCAGCGGCCAGAGCGCTGGGGGTAGGGCGGCGAGTCCCGGCTGGGGCTCCGCTCTCCCCCCGCCGCCAGAGCGCCGGGGGGAGGGTGGCGTGTCCCCGGTCGGGGGCTCCTCTCTCCCCCAGCGGCCAGAGCACCGGAGGGAGGGCGGTGAGCCCACC